GACGTACGCGACCTCCAACTCCTTCATCTCCTGCTGCCAAACCCACGTCGGGTGCGAACACTTGATCTCTTTAGTCGCGTCACCCAATAGGGCGTGACGTTTGGCCACCGGTTTGATGGGTGCGTAAGTAGAGGCCGAAGTGTCTCCACCGCTGGCCAGCGTATCGTTGTTTTCGTTATTATCACTATTTGTCTGACTATTCGCCTGGTTTTGGGCCTCTTTGGAGCCCTTATCACCGCCTCTAGTCTTGTCATCGCCTCCTCCGCCGCCGCCGCGCTTCTGGCGGTCGGGTTTGGGATCGTCGGGCAGTTGTCCGGAGTCTAAATAATTGCGGAGTATTTGTCGGGTGTCTTCGGTGAGGGGCTGATGACTGAACCGGCATTTGTCGCCGGAATAGCACTCGACATTGGTGTGGAAGAACTTACAGGGAAAGTCCGAATGCATGAACAGACAGTCGTCTCCCTTCCCGCAGAAGCCCTGCAAATAGAATTTGCATAAATCCTTCTTCTTGGGGGGCATCGCCTCGTGAGAGAACTGACAGTCCGGCCCCTTATGGCACTTGCCTTCCAGGAAAAACTTGCAGATCTGCTTGTATTGCGGCTGCCGTTCGGGCCTATCGTTGGGCCCGCGACCGGGCGCTCGAGTGCCCGTCGGTCCCGGCATTCGGTCGTTGGCGCGCCGTTTGTCTCTAATTGTGGCCAATCGTCGGCCTTTGTCGGGGTCCAGATTCCGGCGCATCATTTCGGCCATCGCTCGCATCATATTTCGCTTCTCCACGCTATCGATGGGCCGACTGTTAGTCGACTGACTGCCCATTATTGCTAACATTTCGTCAAAGTCTCGCTCATCGAAGTCCAGGTCGTCGTCGGCGTTGTTGTTGTGATGCGGAGGACCGGCGTTGAGGGGAAAGGGTTGCTGTTGTGGGTGTTGTGGGTGTTGGGGGTCCGGCGGTTGCCTGAAGTCGAAGTCGTCGAACGGCCGGCGCTCGAAGTCGTTGAATGGGTTCCGACTAATGTTTGCGTTGCTATTAATGTTATTATTATTGTTATTATTGGTGTCGTTGTTAAAGTCGGAGCTCCAGTTGTTATCACCCGATCGTCGCTTCCGTTTGTCGTCTCCCTGTCCTCTCTGTCTCTCATCCTTGTCCTCGTCGTCAGAGCGGCGTCTCTTGCGGTCCCTCTCCCGTCGGCGGCGCTCGTCATCCGCTGTATTGCTGGCGGCGGAGGACTTGCGGTCTCTGTCTCTGTCGCGAGTGTCCGACTCTGAGCTCTTGCGCTCGCGGGAAGACCTGTCTGTGCGGTCACTCCTGTCATGCCGTCTGTCTTTGTCTTTATCCCTATCCCTATCTCTGGTTCTGTCGGACCTATCCTTAGACTTATCCTCACTTTTGGTGTCACGTCTTCGCGAATCTCTGTCCCTATTATTGCAATTAATTGATTCACTCTTTTCCCTATTGTTTTCCTTCTCATTGTCTGACGACTTGTGGTCTGACTTTTTGTTGGTCTGTGTGTCAGTCGTGGGCACCGACTCGTCGTCGTCTTCGGCGATCTCTCCGTCCTCTAAGATCTCGCCCTCTTCTGTGTCATCCATCGGCGGATCAGTTGGTGTCTCACTCGCCGTCTGTTCTGTCATTTCCATCGACGGCTAAATCAATTCATATGAATATATGTGCGAAACAATCAACAAAACAAATCGCTTGTTATGGCCCTCAGAGACACAGGACTTAGGATTTCAATAGTTTTGTATTCAAATCAATGTTTGCATTAATTAGCTTTAAAAATGTCTGCGAAATGGTTTTGTGGTGAGATTGAGGTCTTGTAGTGATTACAAGAACTCGTCAAACAAATACATATACAGTATATGAAAGTATGTTCAGTGCATCAATTGGCGGATCAATTGACAATGTATTGCATTAATAAATGTCTCCTTAGATTGGATTCATAGATATGGTTGTGTCGACTGCTGAGGAGGAAGTGTGAAGACTATATACAGTGGTATACAGAAATCAATGTATGATAATATCACTGGACATATATATTGGTGTCATTTTACCCCTCAATTCAATCACTTGTTATTTGAGATTTCCTTTCAATCATTTTCGTGTCATTTAATTGTAAACTAATTTATAATTCATTTATTAATTAATTTGTGGCCTTTTTATAGCACTTGTTGTCGACATTCACTCAGTATTTGGGGTTTCATTTAGTGTGCAATTCAGACGACGATATCATATATGAGTTGACCAGACATTCAATTATGTAAATGACTGTTAATTCAGTTGTAGTCAATGTAGTCAATGTAGGCAACAATAAAACACATCCATTATATCAGGCGTTCAGCAAAGCTATGCCAACAGTCGAGTCAATACAGGCTATACAGCAGTAGTACTGCTCACTATACTCGCAGTCAGTGCCCACTCCTATAAACCCATACTATAGGCGTCGGCACCACTACTGCATATGTGGCGACGACCCCTATATGTGGTCTTCATAGCACTGCTCCCATACGCTTTACGTAGCGTTATTGTACTACGAATGCCGAGAGTGTGTCCCCAATAACTGGTTTGTGCGTTCGATATATGGATATTGTGTGACATTTTGAACATTCAATTCGCAGCCAAACGTTGTCTGCGTTTTCACTGCCGTTAAGAACGCAGAGAAGGGCAGAGCATTGCAGTGAAGTGCACCGCTTTGTAAGCATTCAACTCTATATATACTGCGCTCTCGTGTCTCGCAATAGCATAAACTCCAACAGTCAGAGTACTTGGCGTTCACTGCAAGCGACGCTTTCCGTCTCTTTCTCTATATTGAAAGTTTCAAAAACTTTAGTTCCAATAAAAAGTGCCTAGATACATTGTGCACGTTTATCATTTAATCACTCCTGGTAAGTGTTTTTTATTTTTTTTATTATGGTAAACTTTTTGCAATTAAGTTAAAAACAATGATAACTAACTTTCATAATGTTTTGTATTAATTATTGAATATCTCAATACAAGTGTGTGTTATCTTTGCATTCGTTCAAAACCATAGGTTTTATGTTTTACTCTTTCAACTAATTTATATCAGAAAACTTTTTCGCTGTTTTCCCAATAGTTTTATCGAAGTTTTAATCACTTTATTATCACTTATTGTCGTATTTTATAGTGAATTAGTGGTGAAAATTCTAATAATATTTTTATAAATAACTGAATAATAATTGTTACTAATTATTAAACTCTATTTAATGACAGAAATGGGCAAAAGATCTCGTGAGAGTTGTGGCCGCGGGGGTGGCTGTCCGAGGGGTGGTTGGGGTCCGCGGGGAGGCGTCCATTGGGGACCCGATCGGCAACACGTCTATCACACGAGCTTCTCGTCTGAAGACACGTCCAGCGATTCCGAGACAGATATTACTCATAAATTCCCGAAGAAAATCAGGAAACACTTCAAGAAACACATTAAACATTGGCACAAACACGGGCACCGTTTTGGACACCATTGGCCGCCGCAGTGGGCACAACCCGGAGGACCTATGGGTCCGCCCGATGGCCAAAAAACGATGTGCACCCTTTGCTGGCACCGCATTAAACCATTGGCTGAGACCGAAATCCTCGAATGCGGACATATTTACCACCGATTGTGTCTCAAAGAGTTGTTTGAATTGGCGATGAAGTCGTCGACGGATCCGTTGGAAGTGTTTTGCAGTCACTGTAAAGAGAAGATCGAAGACAATCTGATGAATGAGTTACGGCTCCGATTCGCTGGCTTTGGCACCACTGATACTACTGATGACGCGACCGCTGCCGGACACGCGTCCACCTCTTCGAGACCGTCGCGACGCGAGTCACGCGGCGGACAACTAATGGTCGTCGATATTGACAATTAAAGACATCACTTGTCCTCTATTTTATAATATTTTAAATACTATTCCGCTTTTACTGTTATATAAATATATTTTAAACTATAATTGTAGTCAATATATAATCAATTATTTATAATTTGTTAATCACATAATAAAAGTGAATTAAATTACTTTATTTGACTGAATTTGTGCTGTCATTGAAGCGAAGCATCAATGGCCTACTCTTGGATGCAAAGACTTGATCTCTTTTATGGCGTGACATTTGATGACCGCTTTGATGGGTGCGTAAGTAGTATTAGTTGTCTATCAATTGCTGGTGTGGCCACCGGTGTCTCATTCTCTTCGGTATTATCACTGTTTGACTATTTGTCTGGTTTTGAGACATTTAAATAACTAAAACATTTTGTAAATCAGTAATCATTTAAAATTTGCGCTTTAAGTGCAAAATGGGTTTTATTTGTGTATAATAAAAATGCCTTTTTATAAGTATAACTCAATAATGTTTGTCAATTAAAAAGACCCAAAATAGCGCCGTTTGAATGAGTGATGCAATGCATTGTTTGCATTCATTAATGACAACTCATTGAACGCAACGAAAGTCATTGAAAATACATTCAAATCAATGAAACAAACGGTTGATTAAAGTAAACGTTATTTATATGTAAAGCGTTTTGAAAGCATTTTTGGGTGAATTGACAAAACATTAGTGAAAAACAAGACATCTTTTGGTAAACAAAACACTAATTGAGTGTTAATTGTATTGACTCGCGAGTGATTATCTGTTGGCGAAGACAATGGCAGTCGGTTTTGAGATTTGCCATCAGTTATACCACAGAGACTTGAATTCAAGAAACGATTTGCTTGTCGTTTGTCTTCACTTCCAATGTCTTCGGCGAGGGTTTGTCTTTGTGGGCGTCGGAGAGACTGTAAGTGTCATCCCTTTCCTCAACGCTTTCCTCTATCGCTAATTGTCTTCATTTGTGTATATCTTGTGTCCAAACAGTTCACCGAAGCGGACGAGTCGGGCGGCGGAGGCTCTGAAATGCTGCCCAACGGGTGGAACGCATCCCAAGACACTTATGTCTTGAGATATATTAATCCAAAAACTAAACAAAAGCTTTTAGTCAAAGCGGTTAAAGTGTCGGACATATTGATCGCATCCGCTCTGGTATGACATGATTGACACGTATTGACAACCGATCACTGATTGCCTTCTGTTTAACCCACAGGTAGTGTCGGCCGAAAACAACGGAACTTCTGTCACACTTCAGACCAATGAATATATCGCCGAAGACTATAAGACATATAAGAATGCATTTGTTTCGGGAAGTGTTGACAATATTTTGCAGAAATTAGATAAAGAGCTGATCGATCCTCTGTTGGCCAGACCAGTGGCGCCGACCCCTGAACCTCCCGCTCGCGAGCGAATCCCGGAATACGATCCGTTGAGAGAGCCGATGCCCGGCGCCCGACCGATGCCCGGCTACGGACCCGGTATTGGTTACGATCCCAATTATGGCGGTGTCGGTCAGTGGCCCCCTCCCTATGGCGGCGCTGATTTGGGTACTTTTAACACACAATTTTGTATTTGATTAGCGAAATAACAATTGATTGACTCAATAGATCCATTGGGTAGAGCACAGGGAGGTATGATTATGGATCCGCGTGCCTTTCCCGGACCCTTTGGTCGTGGGCCGCGTAATCCGGCCCCCGGTCTGCCTCCCGGGGCTATTCCTCCCGGCGCTCGCTTTGACCCGTTTGGTCCGCCCGGTGTGGGACCGCACCGCCCGCACCGCAATCCGAGACAACAGGGGTTTGTATTAATGAATTATCTTTGATATGATATTAATGGTTGACTTTGCCTCTGATTACTGCTCTATAGGCCAGACCCCGACCACTTGCCTCCCCCGGGATATGACGATATGTTTATGTAATGCATTGATTGGATAACAAACAAACATTTTGTTAATCCTATAAAAATGAACAAAAATTGTTATATGTTTTGATATAATTAGTGTATAAAATGCAAACTTATCTAAATGTAAATTTACACAATTGTTAGATAAACATTACTTTTCAATAAATAACAGCCAATTCTATGCACTTTATATTATTTATAAATTATAAGTTACATTGTGTTCTTCTTAAATAGAGTCTGTAACAAATGTTTCTATTTATGCAGTCTCTCTCTCTCTCTCTC